ATATTTTGATTATTTAAAAAAATAAATGAAAAGCAACTTTTTAATTAAAAAATTTTAAATGTTATAAAAAAAATGCCTTACGATTTAAGGGATAATTAGTTTTTTTGTTATTTTTCTTTCATTTAATATTTTCTTTTTTCACTTTTATATTTTCTTAAATTTTATCTCATATAATCCTGAGTAGGTATTCATAGCTACTTGGCACTATCTTAGATGTACATTGGTTTTAATATTTATTTTCCATGTCACTTAGATAGTTTTTGTAGGCAAGCTAGCATTAGACTTATTAGCTTAGCAAGTTATATAAAAGATGTTGTTGCTTTCTTCATATATAAATTTTATGATTAATAAAGTGATGATGTTTACCTACTTGAAAAAAAAAAAAAATAGCAATGATATTTTTTTTCTCCTCTAATCAAACTGCATTTGCTGTGTTTATTAATCTTTAAAGATATATTACAATAATATATTAAGCTCTAAGGCTATATACTAGAGCTAAACTGTGTCTAATACAAAACACTCATCAATGAGTTGTATAACTCTCTAAATGTGATTGTAGAGAATGATAAAATTGCTTCTTTTTCAAGACCACTCCTTGGTCTTAAGAAAAATCATAGCCAGCTTACATTCAGATTGTCATTCCAATACAAATCTGTAGTCCTAAGAGATAAAAAAAATTTTTATTTTTTAAGAAATTAAAGGAAAATTGAAAGGATAGTAGAAAAGTATGTTCTGATAAATAAAATCCTCCAATATCAACTTCAATCTATCAAGATAAATCCTTTACCACTACTTGCAGCTAGGCAAACCATTTAATTTCTACTATTTCATTGTTAACCAAGAATATTTAAGGGCATTTTCAGAAGAGTAATTCTTGAAATTTTACATTCGAAGACTTCTAATCTTTAGAGAGAGTTGATATTTCAATTGGCGATTTCTCTTTCAACCTAATCTCCAAGGATTTATGGCTTCTTTCAACCAATGGATAATTTCAAAACTCCTTTCTCCAACCATTTTTGGGATAATCAATAATAAAAAAAGCTTGTTACTGGATTGGAATGAAACTTCTTTTGATCTTGAAGAGCAAAGAAACCAGTCCAAGAGAGGAGAATGGAACACTATAACACTTCTTAATAAAAAGAGCATCTCGTCACCTTGCTCTTTTCACTATATTCAATTGTATTATTGGATTTTGTGTTATACGAGATAGGGCATATGGGAGTTACATGTCTTGTTTACATTTCTTGCTATATGTAGATCAACCAGTCCTAAATTTGAGCCAATCATTATTCAAGGATTTAAAAATTCAGAGTCAAACTGAGGTAGGCAAAATTCTTCAGAAAAAACCAGAAAAAAGTTTACATGCTTGAAAAGATAAGAGGAAGCTTGAGAAAAATAAGAGAAGAGTTTCAAAAACTGTGCCAGTCTTTTCTAGAGTCTTGAATTTCTGGAGGAAGAAAGGAGAGTGTTTTTTCTACAGGTTCTTTTTCCTAATAAAGTTTTCTTACCTTTAACTTTATAAGTAGATATTTCTTATATTTACTCGCAGAAATACAAGAAGTTTATATCAAAGAAAGAAAGGAACAAGTAGGAAAGACTGTGGTCTCTTGGTATGAGTGTTGTTAATGAAAATGTATAGACTTTATTACAAAGAAATATAAAAATTTTCTTGGAATGTCTGTTTTTTGTGTTGGCAAAGGAATCAGTGGAAAGAGTTTTTTTAAAAAAAATAGCAATGATATAAAACTTAAAAAATTTTATAATTTTTATAATTCATAATTTTTACAATTTTTTTAATATATATAAATAAAATAAATTAAATTAAATTAGATCAAATAATTAAATAATTAAAATAAAATAAAACAATTAATTTGAAATAAAATAAAAAATTAATTAATTTAAAATTAATTTAATAAATTAAATAAAAAATAATTATATTATAATTAAATACAATCAATCTATTAATTAATTAAATTAGAATCAAATCAAATTAAATTGAATTGAACAAATAATTAATTAAATTAAAATTAAATAAAATCAAATAAAATCGAATTGAATAATTAATTAATTAGATTAGAATCAAATCAAATCAAATTGAATCGAACAAATAATTTATTAAATTAGAATCAAATTAAATCGAATCGAAAATATTCAATTCTAAATAAAATTATTAGGATCCTTAATTTTAAGTAATAATAGTTATACAAACATATTTAGTTTAATTATTAATCAAAAAATAATGCTGAGTTTGATAATGATGATTATATTAATTTTTTAGAAAAGATAAATCATTTATTCTTTTTTTGAGAAGCTATAGAAGAAAGAAATTTTCTAAAGCCTATATCCTAAAAAAAAATTATTACTTCTTAATATAATTTTTAAAAAAAAAAGTTAATTAACCAAAAAAATAATATTATAGAAATAGGATTTTTAAAAGAAAAAGAGGCCTAAGAAAAAAAATCTTTAGGAAAAAAGAAAAATTTAATTTTGGCAATAATAAAGAGAAAAAGAAAAAAAAAAGTATAGAGTATAAAAAAGTATATAGAAGATAAAAAATAAAAAATAAAAAAATATGAAAAATAAAAAGTAAAAAAAAAAATAAAAAGGTAAAGATAAAAAAAAAAAAACAATTCAAAAATTTTCAAGTGCAGAAGGAAGAGTAAAAAAGTGGTTTTTTAAAATTTTTATTTTATTTTATCAATTATTTATTGAATTGTAAATAAAAATATAAATTAAAAATTTGTTTAAAGAATTTTTAGATAAACTGTATTGTCACAGGTCAGGGATCTATCAACAGTAATGGTGAAATTCTAGACTTCACGACACTTTAACAGGGGTATCTGATATAACAGGAGGGCTTAAAGGCAGAAAGAGATATAGATTTGACAAGTTTATATGATTTGGGGGGATTTTATTGATCAGAACAGTGTGATAAGTAGGTCGATTCTAATACTCTTTTATTGACTAATTTTTTCGCTCCTCTCTTTTCTACTACATTTCCTTATATCATTTTTATACTTTTTCTTATGGCAAAAGAAAATAAAAAAAATAAAAGAAATAAAAGAAATAACAGAAATAAAAGAAATAAAGAAAATAAAGAAATAACGAGGTTGAGGGTTGATTACCTGTTTTGGCAACCTCTAGAATGTGTGATCATCATTTTCTCAATTTCTAAGCCATATTGTCAATTGTTGTTTCCCCATAACAGTATATAAAATTATATTTAAAATAAAATTTTAATATAAAATTTGTTTTTTAAAATAATTAAAAAATTATTACAAAAATTATTATATATATATTTTTATTTTTATTTAATTAATTCTTACATTAAAATAATTTTATTATATTTTATTATATTTTTATCAAATTTTTTAAATATATTTATCTAAATTTTTATTTTAACTTGTTAATTATTAATCAAATTCTATATAAACAAAAAATAATGTTTCAAAATTTGTCTAAAGACTTTCTTAATACACCGTATTTCATCTGCCATTTTTTTACAGGTCTTACAATATAGGTGCGAATGATAATTACATTATAAACCTTACTTCCGTGCTTCCACCTTCTAAAGGTATGCCACTTTTCGATATAATTTTATGTTTTATTTATAAGTGTATTATTCAGATCTTTCATTAATATATTAACAAAAAATAATCTAAATTTTTTTTATCCGTAATTAGTGTACTTGCGTTTATGCCCTGTCACCAGAAAAAAAAAAAGCAGATTTGCTGGGTATATTTAACTTCGGATCTGATTGCAGGTAGCTATATTGATATTTAAGACTTTGAAATGAACAGTTTTTTAATCACGTATAAACTGAACATTCTAATTACAATAATGATTCGTTATTATTTTAAACTCATTTTTTTCAACAAGACAGCCTGGTTTTTTTTTTAATATTTCTTCAAAGACTGTCTCTATTTAAACTAAGCCACTCCCGAACTGGTGTAAATTGTGTAGTCGTTTCCATACATGACATGGTGTAATCATGAAAAACGTCTTGGTTGGATTCGAATACAGCCTGTATACCAGAAACATTAGTGTAATCATAACTAATTAAAGAACTGCCCGTATAAAGATGAAATTTACTACCTTAACAGTGAAAAGGAGATCAATAATGTCGACAATACTAGGGAAGGTCGCATACTCAAAAGAGTAATTGACTTTTGGTATCTTTTCTGCGACAAATGTTTTAGGAGCACCTAAGTTCAATCTAAACAGTTCGCCTTCCTTCCCTGTATGCATTTTTTTAAAAAAATCATTACCAGTAGGATATAGCATTTCAAAGGAACAGAAAATGGCAATTAAAAACTTACCGTGCAACACATATGCTAATACGTAATATTTCTTTGCCAATTCTACGTCTCCATTTCCATTCCAAAAAGTTTTACATATTGCGTCCACAGAGTTTCGAAAGCACTTTAAAAGATCCGCATAATATTTGGGTTTCTTTATCTTTGATGGTGGGCCGATGTTCTCAAAGATTAAGAACTCTTGGTCAACATTGTCATAATTAAAAAGAATGCCATCTGCCTTACGTGCAGAAGCAACACCGTAGATCAATCTACGACGCCATTTAGATGAAGGAACTTCGTTTTCATTCCTGTTGAAGAGGGTATTAGTTATACTAGCAATCAGTATGGAATTATGTATTTGATCTTTTCGTTTGATTTACCATCTGCTAATAAACAAATTCGGAAAGCATAACTTCAAAATCTCAAAATCAGGAGACACGATCGTAGATGTGTATGTGTTCTCATCCATTAACCAATCGAGTTTTTCCCCATGTCCGGCTTGCAACTGCATGAGCTTAATTTCAAATATTCGTTTTATGAAGTCAGATTATTCTGCATCAAAGCCTTCAATTATTGTGGTTGATCGCAGATTTGATAATGTGGTCTTGATTTTGCGCTAAATGTGAAGTTACTGTATCGGTAAACCAAATAGATAGATCAAAGATAGATACAACTACATTTATTTTCCTTACTGTGTAAATTTTTTTAATCCATTCTTTAAGCCCATCAACATTATTGCGAGGCAAAGATTGAGATTGAGCAGTTGCTTTTAGTTCGTCAAAAAGTTTATTTATTAAGGAATTATTATCACTTATGTTGATGATATCTGCAGCGTTTAATCTGTTTAATAAAGTGATTTTTGTATGTGAAAATGATTATTTGTGGTAATCTGTAAAAATTATTGTGGTACTTACCTTTCTTCGAAATCTTCATTAGTCAACTCCATTTCCTCTTCGTTATCAATTTGACTCGCCAGTGCATTATTCAACTCGTTATCAATTTGAGTCAACTCTTTATCAATTTGGCTCACCAGTGTATCTTCAATAGTTTCATAAGAATTCTACAATTTATCATGATCTTTAGAACAAAATAAAAAAAAAATTTCCATTAAAGTATTAGACAGTTCATACTTTCGTGAAACACTTCAACTCTTCTTCATCCTCATCTTTCTTATAGCGTGATTTCTTTGAGCTATTGTTATTAAACAATGGATCTGTTGGATCTTTCAAGTCTGGAATTTCTGAGTCTTTACGCTAGATCACAATACATACTATGTGTCAATCAAACTGTACAGAAAACCCTTTTTTTTTCAGACTATTGTTTGTATACCTTCATAGAAGGTCCAAAAAATGGACTATCTTGCAGAATATTGTATCGCCTTTCTCCAATTACACTGGAATGAACTGACGCTTCTTCAGATTTGTTGACAGCGTATTTGAGCTTATAAAAATATGTTAATTTACATAATCCAATAATATATATGATAAGCATGTGGGAACTTACATCAGAAATCGCCATTCGTCGTCTGGTCTCCTTTATGATATTTCCTAAGATATGATATTCATCCCAAAACTTCAGTACTACTTCTGATTCTTTGTCGTCCTATAAGTATAACTCAATGCAATGAGTTGTTAAGCAATTAGCAAATGTTTATGAATCAATGGCAATATGTGTTAGGGCAATATATGCTATAGCACTATAACAGACTAGACAAAGCACGGGGACCATCACTTGGCCTGGCATAGGAACCAAGCAAGCTTGTCTAGCAATAGACAGAGGCATCCTACTAGAATACTGAAATTCATGGTCTGTTAAAGCACTAGTAACAACAGAGACCCATGAAAAAATTGATCAAACTGAACAGAGCGCGAGGGGCTATCACTTGGGCTGGCACAGGGACCAATCCAAACGTGTCCAGCAATAAACAGAGGCATCCTACCAAGACCCATATCGATCGAGGCTTGATCAACAAATTTCATGGATCATAATATTAAACAATTTTACCTTAAAATCAGATGCCAATTTATAAGCTCTTTCCGACGCAGGGTGTCCATATACGTTGGCATTACCGGCAATGTCGATAATAAGCTTTTTCCATGCGCTATGTTCGGTTGACTTGTCACAGAAATCGGAGTATTGTGACCTCCACCTCAAGAAACCGACAAGTGACCATTCTGAGTGGTTAAACTCCTTAAAGTAATTTTCTCTTGGCTGATAGTTAAGGCAGATAGTGTAAATATCGAATGAAGAAATGATATCACGTAAATGTTTGATACTAACAACATCCATGTACGAAAAAAAAATTGCAAAATGATAGAAAACGATACGTGCGTTTTTTTTTACAGGAGATAACCGGTCATGAGATGATTGACCAAATTTGTGTCTCATCCCGCATCCAAGCTACTTATTTTAGAAAAATGACACTTTGTCTCACAAATTATGCATAAGGCTTATTATTTAGCCAATTGAATTGTATACTGTATAAGTAGAATTTCAAAATCTCCGTGTAAAAAAAAATTTCGACCATCGCTTAGTTATTTTATTTTATTTATTTTTTTTGCGAATGGACATTACATTACCAATCTTTATCTAAGTAAATTACTGACTATTGCTTAGTTATAACAAAGCAGATATACAGTATGTTGCAAAAGTCTTTGAACTAATATTTTTTATTGTAATTCAATAAATATTTATTTATTTTTAATAATAATATTATTATTAAGGTTTTTTATTTTATTTTATTTTTTAAAGTAGTGGACTATCTTTATTCTTTTATTCATTGATAACTTTAAAAAGTACAAACTATATTTTGAATGGTATCTAATTTTATATTATTTTAATAAGCTTATCAGTCACCTAGATTAAACTTGATCAATCTATTACTTTCTATTATATAAGTATAGAAAAAAAAATTTTCAAAGTTATACTAAACTATATAATAAGTCAATTTCATTAGAATAAAATAAGAAAAATTATATTAATTCTATTTTATTTTAAACTTTAATAAGATAACTTAACTAAATATTTAAATAGCTTTTTTTTTAATTAAATATTATTAATAAAAATTAATTTTTTATTTAATATGTATGTGTTTAGAATTAATTCTTTTAATTTTTTTTAAAAATTGTTTCAAATTATTTATACTTAACTTAAGTATAAAAAAGAAATAGTTATATTATATTTAGGATTAAAGATTATAACAGTTTAATTTAAATTGATTTTAATTAAAATTAAATTATTATTATTATTTTTTTTTTAAATTAATTTGATTTAAAAACTAATTAGTTTAAATTTTTTATAAACCAATTTAATTTAAAAACTAATTAATTTAATTTTTTCTAAATTGAATCAAATTAATTTATATAAATATAGTTTTTATTAAATTATCTTATTTTAAATTTAACTTTTTCAATTATTATAATTAAAAATTGTTTAAATTGATTTTTTTAAATTTACAATATGTTTATAATGGTTTAAGTAAAAGAACATGTTGGTCATTAATAGTTTATCATTATTAAAGGAAAACTTTATTAATGAAGAGTGGAGCAGACAATTCTAAAGATAATTAAAAAAAAATATAATCTTTAAATACATGTTTTTCCAATATAAATAAATAGAATAAAATATATAAAGAATAATATACATATAATCTTAGTGATTCTCCTGGAAGATCATATGAATTAATAAAGAAAAAGAAAATAAAATAAAATAATAAATAAATGATAATACTAATCAAATATATTAATAATATCCTATAACACCTTAATATCAATTACTAATTGATAATACATGTTAATTAATAAAATCATGTTGAATTAATAATTACTATAAGTTTCGGGTTTTGCATCACTCCGGAGCTTCGGGATCAGCGGATATCATGTGATTTCAGATATATGTTTTAGTCTAATCATTAGTATTCTTTGGTCATAGGTCTAAATTCTTAATTATTAAGAAATCAGTGTTGACAAAGTTTTTTTTAATCATTAATAAAAGATATTTTTCTTATCAAAATACTTATAGTCTCTTAAGATCGTTTAAAAGGTTGTCATCTGACTTTTTAAAGAAATCGGGATTTTTGCCAGATGTCTATAGATTTGTTACAGTATTACAAAACTTTTTAAAATTTTTTTATAAAAAAGATATAATAATAATATTATTATTAACTAATTTTTAGATTTATTTTATTTAAATTTACAAATTAAAAATTATATAAAAATTTATATTATTATAATCTCTAAATTTTAAGTTTTATTTTGATATATTATTTATTTTTTTTTTGAAAAATTTCTCTAGTAAATAAACATCATTTCATTATTTTGATTTGTATATAATAAAGTATACATCATTGAAAGAAACAACATCTCTCTTATTATTTCAGAAGAGTTAAATGCTAGCTT